GCCATAAATTTCATAATTGCGAGAACGAAAAAGTGCATCAAACCAGCTGCAGAGACGCTGACCATTTTATTAAGAAGGAAGCCAGAGGTGGATTTTAGTTTCAATATTCTATTAAGTTGATAAATGTCAAGCTCGAGCTCGTTAAGAAAAGAATACAATCAGATCACCTATAACCTTTCAAGGCATGCATTGACGGTTGCTCGATGCGAAAATGCAAAATTTCATTATTAATCATGTAAATAGTCCATATTATACCAATTTCAATGTTACGTTGGTGTTTACAATTTTAGATATTTCAGTTCCACTTTTATCCCAAATTGACTTATGGTAACCTGAACTTCCACATGCCAAGCAATATCAATAAATACCGGTCCATAATAATTAATTTAAGAAACAATGCGACCCAGAAAGTCGCAATTATCTAAAGAATTTGACCAGAATGAATTTATCTCAGTCTATGTATTAACTATCTCCTATCATTTCAAAAGAATTATGAGTGCGAATCAGGAATTCCAAGAGCATAGAATATGCACTTTTACGAAGTGCTAATAAATTAAATAGTTCAGCATTTTTGGGGTTAAAAATATATTATTTCGCTCGTTCAAAGGAATCAACGTCGGTAAAAGTTAGAGACGATATGAAGTTGTTAATTTATTTAAGCTTCAGTATCTAGTGGATAAGCATACCCTCACATCTTGATGTGGAGAAATTAAGTAGGCAAACGTAATTTTGGAGAAAGCTGAAACCAAGACAGATGGTTCAAGAAATAGTTTTCGTAAAAAATATGTTTGCTTCGAACGATCAATAGGGAAAAACAGACAGAGCATGAAGTTAGTCAAAGTATTTTTTTTACCAGTTAAATCAGTGAATGGCCCGAGGTCTTCAACATCCCCTCCAGACATTACTGGAAGTCTTCTGGTTCGCAAGGGATCAGGACCGCTTAAGTCGGTTAAGCTGTAACTACGCCGACGTAGTTGATCAACAAGAAGATCCTGGCCCTGAGGATACCAAAAAAGAAAAAAATGAAACAAATAATAGGATAAAACTTTCGCAGACGAAAGTTGATTAATAAGATAACGGTTGCATTCATTATTGCATGCGCTTACGAACATACGACAGAGATTAACGACAAATGGAATAAATGAACATTTAGAGTGCATGTGAAAATAATAGACTACCTTGAGAGCAGTAGTTAAAACAGTTGAAGCAGCATAATTTAATCCTTTAGCGCCG